TTTTCATGAAGTCATATCGAGAAGCATGTTACCTCCACAAAGTCTTTATTTGATGTCTAGGGCTTGTCATTTATCCTGTTTATATGTCCACTAGAGTAACCACAACAGCTAGATTGTATCACCACTAAAGTCGAAAGCTTCAGAATGGATATATATATATATATATATATATATATATATATATATATATATATATATATATATATATCTTATGTTGTCTTGGTATCTAAACCGCTCCTATGTGCAGGCAGCAAAGGGAACAAGTATTGAAGGGGGCGTAAAGAACTATGGGAGAAGCGTCCATTTGACAAGCTCAAAGTCATTGGTTCGCACTACCGTGGTTATATCAAAGATTCAAAGGGAAATAAGGTTAGTTTGTTCACCATCTTGACTGCATTTTCATTGTTTCTTATTAGGCTTGAGATGTAGATATACTAGTAAGCATTCTTCACCCATTATAGCTGAAGCATGATTATCACATTGTATTACCATGTGTTACAAACTGTTTTTGAAATGTAACTCCTGCCCATCATATGAGAACTTGATTTAGATTATGATTATTCATTTTCATATCATTATTTATACTCTTGTCTTAGACTAAGAAAACTTGGTTCTTTGAAGTTCAGATTATAAGTTCACAATTAGTTTAATCTCGACCATGCGCAGTTTTTTGTATAAAATGGTGCATATTTTTTGTACAGAAAGAAGCAAGAGCACAAGGTATGTACATTTTCTGCTTACCTCTGACCTTGGTTACTTTGAATGATTATATGCTTACTCACCGAGTATAATAGCTCAATTTTTGTTCTTTGAAGAATTAAAGGTATTACTATACTCACTGGGTATAATAGCTCAATTTTTGTTCTTTCTAACTACTGAGCGATAAAATGTTATGCCGCAATATTTGGTTCTTGCTGCATCATTTTCCTGTTTTACTAGAAGTTGGAGCTTTTACCTATAGTTTGCGAAAATCTGTGTTTTGAATACTCTGAATGGCGCGGAGGTTAAATGCTCTGTAAATAAACAGAGACAACAAGGATTAGTGAGTTTATGTCTTTTGTTCATACTATTTTTATACAAGGACAACAATGAATGACATATGTACTTTTCATCCTATTTGTTTTCTATCATGTAAATGTAAGTATTTTGTCATGCACGCCAGAAAGAAAATATTAGTTCCTACGTGTTTGAGGATATGTATAACCATAATATGTAATGCAATTGTGGTGAGCAATAACGAGGAGGAGAGGTGTGTGATGCTAGACATATTAGGAATTTTTTAGTTCAGTTGATTACATTCATGAGTGTTCTTTTGTTGCAACATACGGGCCTTGTTCACTGCATACACAGATATACTACTATCTTATAGAATATGTTGATCAAGTATGAAGAGGTGGATAAGTTTGTGGCTTTAGTTACTGAATGTACAGACCCGGCTAGCTTCTCAACTAGGGCCTACATTTAGAGAGGACATATTCATATGTAAGTGATTTATAAGGTCCTTTTCCCATATTTGTTTGCAAAGTTTGTCAGTATTATTATGCAGAGACAACTTGCCATGGTTCTGCGTAGATGTGTTCTTTCATTTCTCAATTTCTTTTGCTTTAAAACGATGTTGATTTGCTGAAAGAATGGTTCTGCATGGTTTGCACACTTGCACCTACTTGAATTTAGAGTTTTGTTAGCAAATCCATTTAGAGAAGTGTTAACATTTTACATTTTTCTATAGAAAGTTGTGCACTGCAGGGGCCTCTATACCTAGGAACCAAGGAAGGCAACTCAGAAGTTTCTCCCTGCCAATAATCAAGATTCACAAGGATGGGAGGGCAGATAGATCATGCTGCCATGGAATTGATCCATTTGTCATTACCTTGCTGCTTTCTTGTTTCCTGATATTCAGTAGCCATATACTTTTAGGACTTAGGATGTGATTTCGCATGCATCGCTGATCGTAGTTGAGGGAGTCCTGGATTAGAGGGTCTCCGGACAGCCAGACTATATCTTTTGGCCGGACTGTTGGACTATGAAGATACAAGATTGAAGACTTCATCTTGTGTCCGGATATGACTCTACTTGGCGTGGAAGGCAAGCTAGGCAATATAGATATGTATATTTCCTCCTTTGTAACCGACCTTGTGTAACCCTAACCCCTTCCGGTGTCTATATAAACCGGAGGGGTTTTAGTCCGTAGGACAACATACAATCATACCATAGGCTAGCTTCTAGGGTTTAGCCTCTCTGATCTCGTTGTAGATCAACTCTTGTAATACTCATATCATCAAGAATAAATCAAGCAGGACGTAGGGTTTTACCTCCATCAAGAGGGCCCGAACCTGGGTAAAACATCGTGTCCCCTGCCTCCTGTTACCATCCGCCTTAGACGCACAGTTCGGGACCCCCTACCCGAGATCCGCCAGTTTTGACACCGACAGCAGTTGATGCTTGTTGTCGTTTTAGGATGAGCTATTTTGTGTACAGTTGCTATTGGTCGTGGAAAGACTGGCTATGCATGGCTCGGTTTTATTGAGCTTAGATGAAAATTTGATGGACCACCTAATACATACGAAACAAACAAAGGCTAAGTAGAGCCGAAATTAGAAACACGTTGGATGTCCATCCTGATCACCATTAGATTTTGTCATTTGTCATCTAAGAGCGACTACCTGTATTTTTAAAAAAAGATGCTGACCTCGCCTTTTTGGGCATAGGACATGCATGTGCGTTTTGTGAAAGTTACAAGAGGCACATTCTATTTAAAATGGATAGATTGCAAATTTTGTTATACCTCCATTGTCCAGGACTTGACCATGGAAGAATGAACCCTAAATGATGTCAAATGAATTATATTGGTCAGGATCTCCACATAAGATTTCACCAGCTTAGGCATCCGCATTGTCTGTCGATAGGTTCCTAACTGATTATGTATGGGTCGTCGCTTAGTATGGCCGGGGAAGGGCTAGCCACTGAACCACATTGATCGTAGGAAATGAGTAGCCTGATTCATGTCTTATTTTGATGATAAAGATGTGATATCAATGCGGCATGATGGTTTGGTGCTGCGAGCGGAGCGACACCATTCTGCGAGGGAGGCGAGAAGCATTGGCGAGCTGACGACAGCTGTTCTAAGTCGAGTGAGGCGGTGCTGCAAACACTGTGTTTCATTGATGCGAGCGGTGTCGCGGGGCGGCCTGCGTCAACTACGGCGGAGCTGTGGAGCAGGGCACTACAAGCAGTGATGCGGGAGACCGACGTCTGCTGGGAGGTGGCGCAACAAGTGGTGCAAAGGGGGCACGGGAGCCAGGGTAGTCGGACAAATCGAAAGGCGCACATGTTCTGATCGTACAACTCAGGAGGGGGCGGTCGCCGAATGTGATCGCATGGCTAACGCCTGGCGTTTCCCTATTTGGTATGGGGCACGTTGGTTCATGAAACAATCGACACGTCTTTATGACTTAGGAATTAGGAATTCTATCCACCTTGCATCAAATTTGAAATCCTCTAAGAGAATTATTCTATGCTATGATAGAAATATATATGTTTCATAGTATATAACATGCTTTCAGTCGAGACGTGTGTTGCACGTGCATGCTTACTAGCTAGAGTCAATAATCTAGTTACATACGTTCTCCAACACCAATGATATTATGGTGTTTCTCATGTTTTGCTTGTGGTATAGACTTCATCGATGGATCTAATATCTCCAGGTCTATGTCTTTCTTGCATAGCTTTGTGTCTCTACGTTTCACAAAATTCACAAATTATGTGGATTTGGCTTTATATATGTTTGAATTTCTGGCAGGACCTTGGCTTCTTGTCGTGGGCTAGGGCACTACTATTTTCAATGGTGCTCTATTGGCTCCAACGTACCTGAAACCATACCAAGCTCGGTGATGAACTTCTTGGTCCAAACACCCTTCATTGCCACTTCAGAGGTGATACACTTAGCCTCTGTTGTAAAATCCACCACATTATTCTGCTTATGATGATTCCAACTTATTGTGCCATAGTTTTGTCTATTCTCAAAACCTTGATTGAATCGAATATCGTTTGTGTCCATGGTGAAGATTGCATCAGGTAACTACTTACAATGAACATGCATCGTTATAACACTTTACAACGAGCTCTTCATCATGTCCTTACGAGAAATATATCCTTAGTACTCCCTCCGTTCGGGTTTATTAGACCTAAAGACAACTTCTCTTAGACCAAGACACATAGTAATTTGCTCACATTAATTCTTTCATTCCACTCCCAATGCACTCTCTCACATGCATGCAACCAATAAAAATATATGCATGAAGTGTATTAATTTCTCAGCCATGGCACCAACAACAATGGCTTTCCAAAGCAAGGCCTTATAAAAAGGGGCATGCTTGTGATGCTGAGAGGCCTAATAAACCCGGACGGAGGGAGTACTTCTCAAGTGCTTAAAGATATGTTGCATTGTAGTATGTGCCGCACTCATAAGTGGGTGTGAGACCGGTATGGCTCGTCATAGGCCGTGCTTGTGAATAGATGTTAGACTAGCCACAATGGATAGTAACATAGAATAGTAACATGCTCATGTTACTACTCTATAGTGGGTAGTAACATATGTGTGGTAACATGCAACACTTCATTTATTAGGCTATAGACTCACCTTGCCTTGATATATGTGATGTTACTCACACTAGTAGTACTAACTAACTATGTTACTACATGCCTCTCTTTCTTCATTTATTGCTTAGCACATCATCTATTTTATCTAGATATGTGTGATGTTACTATCTATATTACTTTCACTGTGGGTAGTCTTAAGATGAATTGCGTAAAGTAAGTATGCTCTCAGTTGCAACAGACGGGCACTATGCTAGGAAACTAAAGAGTGTAGATGTGGTAGTTGCAAGTATTAATAAAATTACGTTTTTTTATAAATGTATAATGTACGTTAGATCGCAGCAAGAGGGTACATAGTTTGGTGTAACTAGCAGTAGGCGCCCAGACTGCTGGTCCACTTCTCTATGCACAAATATTCCCAGCCTCTGCGGCTCCAATTTGCAAAAGCTACTCGAGGATTGACCCAACCCACCCGGCCTTCTCCTACCAACCAAGCAGCTCCAAACACCAAGAAATCCACAGAAACCGAGATCTCTCTCTCTCTCTCTCCGACCCGACGGATACCTGGTTGTTGTTGTAGCTGGGCAATGGCGACCGACGCGATCCTGGAGACCATCAAGCCTCGGCGGAGCCCGTGGCTGGAGGACCTCCCGGTGACGAATGGGGGCGCAGCGAAGGGCGGCAAGGTGGACCTGTCCGGGATGCGCCGGCGCGTGTCGTCGTCCTTGTCACTGAGCCTCCAGCCGCTGTCCTCGTCGTCGTCCGCGGCGTTCCGGCGCGCGCGGTCGATGCCGTCGATCAAGGCGCTGGCGGCGGCGGGCGCGGTGCGGCAGTGGTGGGAGTGGGGGCTCGGTTGGGTGATGACCCGGAAGCCCTCCTTCGCGCGTGGCCTCGAGATGAGCGAGGACGAGGCCGCCCTGCTCGGGTGCCACTGCCGCGGCACGCTCCGGCACGTCTTCTACAAGGCACGCGCCGAGGTGCGCCGCCTCCTCGGCCGCGACGGCCGCCCGCTCGGGGGCGTCGCGGCGCAGGACTTCAGGTACGACTCCGTCAGCTACGCTCAGAACTTCGACAACGGCGACGTCGACGCCAGATGCTAGCTGCTGCGCCGGCGCACGCATGGATTCGGACGCCGACATTCGTGCCGAAAGTGAAGGTAGACATGGCTCGATCGATGGCTACGAACTATATCTTCTTGGACGCGGCAATAAACCGAATTGTTTGTAAGATACTAGCAGCATATAGCACGGCGTGTGTGTGTGTGTGTGTTTTGTCTGAACGATCGCAGATGATCCAGCAGCGAGTGATGCGCACTGTTCAGGGACCAGATGTATATTTCTTCCGCTCTTCTTTCTTGTGTTTTTCCGAGTCTTTTCTTGGATACATCCGTCCCTACAATGTAATGTAGCCCGTGGATCTTGAACTGGCAAAATGTACATGTTCTGTAACACATTGCAAATGCAAATCAATAAGCATTTCTGGAACCTGAATCAAGTGCTGAGTCAGTCAGACAAACTTGATGTTCTATTTTTTTTTCTTCCCCGTGAGATTCAGATCTGGTTCTTGTTGGTTTGGGGTCCCTTTCGTTCCAGCTGTGCACGGCGCGACGCGGGAGCAACTGCTCATTGCCCGCCCGGGGTCGTCGTCCGTCCTCCCCCGGTCGGTGCCGGAGCTGTTCCCCTTTGGGTTTGGCGCGAACTGATCAGGGAGCTGATAGCAACTTGGCGCCCACGGGGGAGGTGCGGGTAGGTGTCGTACGTCTATCTTCGTCTTCTCCTCGCGATCGATGTAGAGTATGTATGGTAGGACCAGCGGAATGATGAGCGGTGACTGTGACTGTGAGGGAGGGTGAGCTACTACTACGCGATGTCTACACGGTGAAGGTGGGCACATGGCCATGCGTGCGGCGGTTGTTGCGGAGGGGTCATCGATTCCGGTGTGGAGACACGGGCCGTGTCGGCGGCGACCGCGATGGTACTCGTTTTTTTCTCTTTTCAGAATTGATATGTATCCCAAACGTCAGATTTCTGGCCTCTCAGCCCGAACGTGCTCAGCGCCGTTGGATGTCATGCACAAATCTTAAAGCAATCAGGAGCGCCACGTCACGTTTTTGTCTCCGTTCGAAAAAATAAGGCATCATCGCGAACGACCGCACCTCTCTCCCTTATCCCTTTGTCCATTCCCCAACGACACTCACTCACCATTTCTCCTCGTGCACGGGACAAATGGCGGGGAGGCGGCCGACAACGAGGGAGGGGGGGAGGGGGGACATCAGAGAGGAGGCGTGCGGCGACGGAGACGAGGAGCGGCAAGAACCCCGTTATTTAAAATAAACTTGGCCATTCGTCGAGTTGGGCTTAATTCGGGTCAGGCTTTATAAAGCCCGACGGCAAAATTTCAAGCCTGAGCCCGGCCCAGCCCGGCTCAAATCACATGAACAATGTCCTTTTAAAATTAAAATAATAATTTTTGGGATATTTAAAATATATAGTATACCTATACTTTGCATAAAGTAATGATTTATACCCTGTTCAAGCCTATTTTCGGGCTTTCGGGCCAGGCTTTGGGCGGAAAAGCTGAGACCGAGCCTGGCCCGGATGTCGGGATTTCGGGCCGGGTTGACTGGGTCGGGTTGTCCATGCCCGGGTTTAATTTGAACCCTCAGCGATGGTGGGTGGAGGCGGTACTCGGCGACAATCCCGGTGGGCGGTGATGTGTCGACGACGCCGAAGAGAGCGTCGTCGTGTGCGTGGTGGTTGCCAGCCACTGAGCTGAGGTGCTAGGGGTGAGATTCCTGGGTGCCTTGTGTCGATTCTGAAGCCGAAGGTGGCGTATGTGCGTGGGCATGTCGTTGCGGTATCAACAAACTAATGGGGTCGCCCACTTCCCCTGCCGTCCAAATGAATCAGTGGTCGTGGGATCCACCGGAGGCCGGCGCCACCGACGTGGGATCAATGGCGGGGGTCGACTGCCGAATCTAGCCGAGGGAGAGGCCGAAGCTGCAGGAAGAGGGCTACACGTCGACGAAGCCTGCGGCGACGATGTCCACCACCACGCATTTTGTCGCTCCCTAGTGTGGTGGTCACAAACGCGAGCTCCCTTGCCTCCTGCTGGGCTGCTTGAGCTCGACCACTACAGCGACGCACTGCCCAAAGCAGCGGTGCTACCTCCATCCCATGCATGTAGCACTTCGCTCAACTTTTGTGCTTCATTTTTCCAGTGTGCTGCTTCAATTGCCGTTCCATGACCCAGGGGATGCACAATAGTTTTTTGCGTGATTTACTTTGTCAATGTAAAAGTATAGGTTTTTCCATGATGTGTTGTCGTGGAAATAAAAAGAAGGTTTGTGTTTCCATGTAAATTTATGATGCGTTGTCATATTTTTTGTTAATTTAATAGATATGTTTTGTCATGGCAACCATAAACTTATGTTTGCCATGTAATTCCGGTTGTTATGAATATATGTGTTTTCTCATGGCAACTAGAAGCTTATAATTGCCATGTAATTTTGTTTTGTGTTTGCCATGGCAACTAAATGCACATATCCTGGGCTGCCCCTGTCTCTAAACAAGATCACGCGTGGGATGCTATTGCCAGTTATTCATAAAGTTGACCACAGGCTCTTGGGCTGGTTGGCCACTTTTTTAACTCTGGGAGGGAGGCTCACGCTTGTAAACTCTGTGTTGGCTGGCATACCTAGCTATTTCATGACATGCTTCCCATGGCCTAAGGAGTCCATTAGCTCGCTTGAAAGTCTTCCGTGTGCTTTTCTTTGGCAAGGCAAGAACGAAGTTAAGGGTGACCAGTGTCTAGTAGCTTGGGACAAGGTCACTCTTCACCAACGGAATGGAGTCCTGGATGTGAGAAATCTGCAAGCCCATAACCATGCAATGCTATGCAAGTTTCTTTCCAAGATTCTACAGTCTTCTGATATTCACTGCCATCAGTGGTTTGCTTTGCAATATTGTAAGAAAGCCATACCTTTTGGGACTAGCAGCAGAGATACAACCCTGTGGCGCGATTTCAAGGATCATATCCCCCTGGTCATAAACTCTTCGCAGTGCACTCTGGGCTCTGGCGATCTCGTATCTTTTTGGCGCGATTTATGGCTCGAAGCTGGCAGACTCCACTTGCTGCTACCAGTCCTCTATTCCTTTGCCAAGAACCGTTGTTGCTCGGTTAGCTCACAATTCTTGGATGGCGCCTGGTCAGTGCAACTCCACCCCTATCTTTCCCACACTGCTGAGCATGAACTCCTACTGCTGCGTCAACTCATTGCACATATAACTCCTGATGGTTCGCGCAAGGACGTGCGTACTCCATCCGTGTTTGCTAAGCAGATCAATACAAGATATTTTTATCGGCTGCTGACCTTTCGGGGTGTTAACTGTGCTTTCCATGATTGGGTTTGGGATGCGCTGATCCCCCTGAAGCACAAAACCTTTCTCTGGTTAGCATTTTGGGGTCAGCTCAAAAGCACAACATGGTCAAGAAACATTGGGTGGCTATTGCTCCAAGCGGGGACTGTGATCTCTGTCCTACGGTGGAATCAGTTCATCATATAATGCTGCATTGCAGGGCAGCGTCTACCCACTACTAGGGAAAACCTTATACACAGAAGCTTATCAGTAGCGCGGTCTATAAGGAGGCGCTACTACTAATTAGTAGTAGCGAGGGGTATAAAACTCGTGCTACTACTAAGTTGATAGCAGTAGCGAGGGGTATAAACCCGCGCTACTACTAAGTGGTCTTCACCATGCCCTCAGGAAAGGCCACAGTAATAGCGAGGGGTATAAAACCCGCGCTACTACTAAGTCGATAGTAGTAGCGAGGGGTATAAACCCGCGCTACTACTAAGTCGATAGTAGTAGCCTTTTTCCTAGTAGTGACCCTCTGGCATCGGCTGCACCTGACACCTCTAGCTTGTAGATCGCCTGACATACTATCATTTGTTCAACAAGCTGTTACTCACGTAAGGTTCAGGCGCAAATGGAATGTGGCTTTTGTAGCTTGTGCCATCACTCTCTGGAACGCGAGAAATGATTGAATCTTTAACTCACGTTCATGGACTGAATCCTACATGCGCTTCTCTGTTGCGGATTTGATCCACCTTTGGTGTTGCAGAGCCACAAAACAGCAGGATAAAGAGGACCTCATGTTTTGGGGCAATCTTTTAGCCACATAATCACATAGCTTTATCCCTGATGTTCTCTTCTGTTTTCTGCTTGCCCCTGACTCTCTCTTCTGTCAGCTCTTGTGGACTTGCACTAAAGTGCACCCCACAAGCTTCGTGTAATTATACTTTGTTTGTCAGGCTGCGGCCTGTTTTGAAATATAAAGGCGGCCCGGAGCCCCTTTCTTTGTTTAAAAAGAAATGCGTATGTCGCCATGTAATTCTGTTGTTATTAAAAAGATGTGTTTTTGCCATGGCAACTAGAAGCTTTTTGAGGGAGTCCTGGACTAAGGGGTCCTCGGGCGTCCGTCCTATTATCTATTGGGCCGGTATTGATGCCGACCAGGAACAAGGCCAAAACTCACCATTTACTGGACGTTGGACAACCACCTCTTCATACGATGTGTACATGGTCGACGCATCTAAAGAAACTAGCGACGATAACAAAGGGGATCCAGTCACGGATAAACCTTCTAAGAAACAGTCCAGGCGCCGGCGCCCTAAACGCCGCTCTAAGCCTCGTCGCTCAAAAGATGACAACACTTGCACCGGAGAAAATGGTACTCCGGACGACGCCGAAAACAATAAAGACCCTGTCGGAGCTGCGTCCGAATAGGAGGAACAAGACAACGGGCAAGATGCCCCTGATAAACAGGCCACACCCAATAACTCAGATGATGATAGTTATTGTCCAGTCTCCGAAGATGAGGAGAGCCTCGGCAGCGAAGATTTCATCGTACTTGAGGCACCCCTAGAGCAGGAACGCTTCAAGCGCCAGCTAATAGCTACTGCCAGAAGCCTGAAAAAGAAGCAGCAGCAGCTCCAGGCTGATCAAGACCTGCTCATCGACAGGTGGACTGATGTCTTGGCAGCCGAAGAATACGGTCTCAAGCGCCCAGTCAAGAGTTACCCAAAGCGCAGACTGCT